CACTCATCCCGGACCTGGGCACACAGATAGGCCTGTAGGCGGGCAGTGGGTTGGCCAGGAGAGCCCATGTTCTGGGATAGCCAACCCAGTCACCATCTCTTAATCAGCTGTAGGGAACCCCAACACTGGCTTGGCCAGCAAAGGGCGCTGGGAGCTTGGGCTAGGATGTCTGACAGGTGGGGCTGTGGGGCTGGGCTGAGCTGAGTTCCCGGGGCAGGAGGACCAGTGGGCAGGCCAGACCCTCTGCTGCCTATGGGGGTGGGGGTGCACGGGAGGTGAGGCCTCTGACCCCCAACCAGGCCCCTGTTCTTTGCCACCCCCTGGGTGTGGGATGGATCAAAGCAGCAGGGTCTGGGGATGGGGTTGAAGGCTGAGACGGGCCAGAGTGTCCCCACGTGGGAGTGCCAACAGCTCTCTCCTGTGACTGTCTCCAGCTCGGGGGGAGCTAGTCTCTGCTATGGCTGCTGGGGAGACCCCCAGCAGATCCGCAGGGGAGAAGAGGACCCCCAGCTGCAGATGCGGCGGCAGGGCCGGGTGGGCTGGAAGCCGGGACAGCTGCACCCCAGGGGCTTCCCCTCGTCCTCCCCCTGCTGGTCCTCGGGGAAGCATTCTCCTTGCCTGGGACTCTGAGGCCCCGGCAGTCCAGCTTCTCTTCCAGAGGAGAGCAGGTGCTCAGACACAGCCCAGGTCATCCACGGAGCGGGGTGCGGGGGGGGGCGGTCTCCACTCACCCTCATCCATCCAGTGGCCCCTTCCCTTGGCGGACTGAGGTCTAAGCCCCTTGCCCCATCCCTGTGTGGGTCTTGAGCCCTGTGTGTGAACACCCATGAGCGCGTGGCCCCCCAGACCTGTGCATGCCCTTGCCTGAGCAGAAATGGGCCCACCGGGGATCCTGGTCTGAGAGGAGCTGACCATGGGAGCCCAGCTAGGTCCCTGCAGAGCTGAGCACCCTGCATGTGTCCCGAGGGCAGGTTGACCTTCTCTGCCCTGCACAGTGTCCCCGCAAGTCGGCAGAGAGCCGCAGAAAGCATGTTTGTGGAGCAAACGGACAGAGAGCCTTGGGGAGCCTATCTCCCCTTGGTGGAGGGAGCTCCCAGGTCGTCCCCACGGACCCTCCAGCAAGCACATGGGGATCTGGGAGGAGAGGCTCCCTCCTGCCCCAGCCAGGCCACCCCCCACCCCCAGAGCCCGACCCTGCCTGCCCGCCTCAGAGGCAGGCCCGGCTCATCCTCTCGGCTCATCGTCTGCCCCGACCCAGAGGGGAGGCCACCACGGCATCTGCACCCCCGCCTGCTTGCTCGCAGCCCTCCTTGGGTCGGGCCCAGGAGCTCTACACGCACATGTAGGCACATGTGGGCCGCCTGGGGCCGGGCATGTCCTAATTAGCCCACTCTCTTGGGAGCTCTGATTGAAAGCAAAACAAACCAAAAAAGTCCTCGTTTTGCCCAGGTTCCTCCTCCTGCCAAGCGGGTCTCACCCCAGCTTCCAGGGGCCTCTGGTCTGGACGAGCTGCTCCCCAGCTTCCGTGAGGCTGTGTCGGGCAGGTTCAGGAGAGTGAGGGGCTGGTCCCCCACGGCCCTCCCCATCTCCATTAGGAAGGAATGCAAAGGGAGGGAAGGAAGGGAGTCACACACAGGCTCACACATCCACATCCGACCAGCGGGGTCACCCACACAGTCGGCCCCACACAGCACCTGGGGGTGCAGTCAGAGGTGTTCCTGGGGGGACAGGACCCCAAGAAGGACTCGAAGGGACAGCTATCACCTGCCCAGTGACCCAACAAGGTGCCGCCGTCCCCTACTCCCCTGGGAGGGGGTAGTTCCCCAGACACCGGGTCAGCGAAGTGCTGTGGGTCAGAGGGCTGTGTGCTCCCGGCTGCCTGGGACAGGCTCTCTCTGTTGGCAAAGGGAGGGAGGGAGGGAGCCTGCAGCCCGACCCGGGTGTTGTGTGCGGAGCTCTTCCCTCGCATCTCTGGGGGACCTGCCTGCTGGAAGCCTCCGGCTCCCTCCTGCCTCGTGGCTGCTGCGCCCGCCCAGATGCTATCAGCCGGCTCTTTTGGTTCAGTGACTAATTCCCTGGCACCCACCTCAGATTGGGAAAGAATGTGGACAAGTTAAAATCTGAACAATGTTGCCATCATGGGCCTGCCTCTCATTTCTCCTAAACAGGGGTCCTTTGCCCTGCTGGCCTGGGCTGTCCTCCTGTTGGGGATGGAGCGAGGACAACAGTCCTGAGCCGTGGGCTGTCCTCACTGAGCCCTTGGGTGGCCACAGGGAAGCTGCTCACTGCTCACTCCGTGGGGCCTTGGCTTGTCCTGGAAGAGAGAGGTCATGGGGACTCTGGAGTGGGGAGCAGGCTGACACCCCGTCTTCCCCAGCCCAGGACCCATGGGGCTCTCAGCTTGGTTGAGCAGGAGGGCCGGTTCGTGCCCCATCCTTCTTACCCTCCCCTCCCTCCCTCCTTCCTTCCTTTCTTCCTTCCTTTCCCCTTCCTCTTCCGTGCAGTGCCCCTCACCGGGGAGGAGCTTGGAACCCAGGAAGGTGAGGCAGGGCGGGGGGATGAGGCTGGAGCTCCTGGGGCAGATGCTCAGGGTCCAGCGCCCTCCAGCAGAAGGCCCTTGGGGTGATTTTGCACTTTCCAGCAGCCACGTAGAAAACCAGTAAAAGGAAATCCATGGAAACAATGTAATAATGTGCGCCATGTATTGGGATGATGCGCGTTTCGGTGCGTGCTCAGTGTGAAGCCGAGCGTGGATCCTTCCTTTTTACGTTTCCTCGTGGCACCGAGTGTCCAAAGTCCGGGTGCTGCGCGCGCCCCTGGCTCGCCACGGCCATGCTCCACGTGCCCGTGTGGCCAGTGCCTGCGTACTGGACAGTCCCACGCGTGAGGACATGTGGTGGTCGTTGTGAGGCCCGCAGTCCTGTAGGGAGACAGAAACCAGAGGCTGGGAGGGGACAGGGAAGCGATGTGCCCTTGGGATGGGGGGGCGCAGGGTAGGGGGTGTCCCCCAGTGGGGCCCCACATGGAATGGGAGGCTGGTTCCTCTGCTGCCTGTCTTGTTTAAAATCGCTTTATCCTTTATCGAGCCACAAGCCACGTTCTGCATAACACACAACTCGCCTATTCAAAGCCTGCATTTCCTCGGTTTAGAAAAGGTCCCCAGCTCTGGGCTCCCATCCGCACAGTGACTCCTAGAGCACCTTCCTCATGCCCCAAGGAAGCGGGGCTCCCCGTCACTGTGGCCCCCAGCCCCTCCCAGCCCCTGAGCCCACTGCCCAGCCTCTCTGCAGGGACCCCACAGCAGGTCTCCCAGCAAGTGCACTTCTGGCAAGGCTGTGGTCCCCCTGGCTGTTTCGTCACTCCTTAATTGGGGCAGTTGTCGGTACCATTCTGACCCGCGGACCTGCCTCTCTCCACTTGCCGGTCATTGGGGGGTGCTCCCCAGGGGACAGGAGAAGGCGCAGGAAGCTAGGAAGGTGGTGGGGGCCAGAGCGGGAAGGGGTTCTTAGGGTGCCCTGCAAGGGTCTCCTGTCCAGCTGGTGGTGGACAAGGCCCCACATGGATCAACCCCTCCCCCGCGCCAAGGGGCCCTCCGGATGGCAGCTTCAGCCAGGCCTGGGCAGGGGCTGCAGCATCCAAGGAAAGCACCGGCCTGCGCTCCAGCGGACCCCAAACCAGGGCTTCAATAACAATGTCACCTGTTACCTGTCACCTCCCTCCCCCTCCAGCATCCCTTGTACTGAGCATTCTGTAGAAGCTCTAAAGATCCTTGTCACTAACAGACCAGACAGGCGGATGTGTGCCTTTCCTGGGGGTGCCAAGCGGGAGGAACCCCAGCTCCCGATGGAGAAGGAGACCCCCGGGGGTGGGGGCGGAAGCAGCTGAGCAGCCGGTCCCTCCGCACTCCTGTGCTTTGCGGCTTGCAGGAAGCAGGCCGGTGGAGGGGGGCTGCAGGGCGAGCTTCCCCTGGGCCCCGAGTCTCCCTACTTCCTGCACTGGCTGCTAGTCTGCCTCTGCCCCCCCAAGGGGGGCCTCGGACCCTCTGCCCCTGTTTGGCCGTCCCCTGCAATGCCCTCTCAGGGTGGCTGCCTTGAGGGTGGCTGGAGCCACCGCCTCACCCCAGGCAAATCACTCCCCCTCCATGCCTCAGTGTCCTTGTCCTCATCTGTAAAATGGGATAGTAACAGTGTCCACCTCAGGCCCACAGAGAGGATTAAAATAAACCACATGGCCATCATGGCCATCTGGGCACAGAGGGAGGGCAGCTTTCATGTTTGTGCCTAGAAGCCCCTCTGGCCAGTACCAGCAGCCCTGTACCCCGACCCGACCCACCTCCGGTGGACGCCTCCAGGTTGGGAAAGATGTCTTCCCTGCTGGCCCTCCAGGAGGGATCTGATCCATCCTCCCCCTCCTTTGCTGGGGCCTCCTTGAGCTCCAGGCAGGGACTGACCCTGAGAGGGCAGCTGGGGATGCTTCCACACTGTGTTCCTGCGGGTGTGGCCCCGGGGGGAGGGGCTGCGCTCCCAGGGCCGGGTTAGCACAGAGGCTGTGGGTGGCAGAAGGGGACCCTGGGCCCCACACCCTGGGGCCACCCCCTGCCCTGTCTGCCTCCCTGAGCCCAGGGTCTCCCTACTTCATGCTGTGCCGGGGGTGGGGGTCCGGCGACGGGGATACTGCCCCCCAAGCCTGAGCCCACCTCCCGGCAGGAGGTCCAGGGGCAGGGAGCCTCCCCCTCCCCAGCAGCTGCCCTCCAGGTGCGCTCGTGGAACCCAGAAGCCCTGGCGCGGGGAGGCTGATGGAGGGGGAGGGGGTAGGGCGAGGTGAGTATGTCAGTTTATCCCAACACAGGCAGTGACCTGTCGGGTTGGGGGGGGGGGCGGGAAATATTTGGGATGACTGCGCTGCTGGCCCTTTAAGGCTCCTGTAACAGGACACCTCCGGCCGCGCTTCCATTCTCCAGCCTGACTGTGTGTCCCCCTCCCTCCCCCTTCCCACGCTAGTCCCAGTTCAATCTGCTGAGCAGCACCATGGACCAGATGAGCGGCCGCGCGGCCTCGGCCAGCCCCTACACCCCGGAGCACACTGCCAGCGTGCCCACCCACTCGCCCTACGCGCAGCCCAGCTCCACCTTCGACACCATGTCACCCGCACCGGCCATCCCCTCCAACACCGACTACCCCGGCCCCCACCACTTCGACGTCACCTTCCAGCAGTCCAGCACGGCCAAGTCAGCCACCTGGACGGTGAGTGGCGCCCCTGCTCCCAGGGGCATCCGCGGGGTGTGGGGTGGGAAGGGCCGATCGTCCCCCGGGCCGGCCGGCTGGGCAGCAAGGGAGGACCAGCCAGGTGTCCGCACAGGGCTCCCGCCTGGCCCACCACCGCCGGGAGGAGCGTTGGGCAGGAGGCGGGTCTGGGGCTGGGCACTCTGGGCGTGCCCACCCCTCGGACGTGCGGGCAGAGTGGCCAGCCTCCGCGGGGCCCCAGAGGGGCAGACTCAGCTCAGCAGCGAGGTCCATGGGACGGAGACGGACCACTGGCATCCCCACGCTGCGGTGGGGCTCGAGTCCGGTCCGGGCGAGAATGCCGTCCAGGTGAACGGTGAGCGGTGAGCAGCCGCCTCTTCCAGGCAGTGCCGTGGGCAGGGACGTCTCCTGTCTGGTGGCCGGCAGGCTGGGGCTTTGCCTGCCCGGCCTCTGGGCTGTCATCTGCGAGCACCAGTGTGCGACCGGGAAGTCGGGGGGTGGGGTGGGAGTCCACGGGCGCTGTGGACTCGGGCCTTGCCTCGGCCCTGTACCCGCCCTGCACGCGGCAGCATTCTGGCCCCCCGCGGGGATTCCGCCAGCTTGGATGCTGTGCGCCCGGCCCCCTGGGGTGCTCCGAGTTTACCTTGACTCTGGAAAGCGGAGGGGAGGGCAAGCAGCTCGCTGGTGTTAGGCAGGTAGGAAGTGCTCGTCCGGGGGACTGGCTTTCCGGGTTGGGGCTCTAGGTTCCTGACGGAGGTGGGTGCAGCTGGGAGACGGACGACAGGGCTGTGGGGGGCAGGGACTCTGAGACCCCCAGGGACAGACCACAGGCTCGCTGCTGAGACTAGGGCACACGGGGCATTGGCAGGAAAGGCAGCCGCGGGGGCCCTCCAGCTCTCCTGCCCCCACACAGGAGAAGGATGAGGACGCTTGCCAGGACCCTGCCCTGGGGACACCGAGCAGGTCCTGGCCGTGGGGCAGCCTCACCCCTTCCAGGGAACAGCAGCTCCGAGGTCTCCCCCAGCCTCTGGAAATGGCCCCTGGACAGAGAAGGCCCCGCGGGGCTGGTGAGCACAGAGCAGGGGACCCTGAGGCTTGGCCGCATGAAGAACAGGGTCTCACGACCCCCACTGCCCTGCCGGCCAGGTTGTGGTTTTCCCACGCTCCTGGGGGGCTGGAGGGGCGTGGATCCACAGGCAGACCCGTCTGGCTCTGCAGGGGCCAGTCCGGGTCTGGGATCCAAGGCCCGGGGGTCCCTGCGGCTGTCTCTGGTTCTCGCTCTGGCTGGGCCCCCCTCCCTGACCATTGCTGGCTGCGGGGCACCCGGTTCAGGGCCCCACCCCTCGTCCTCGTCCTCGTGCTTCCCTGATGCCGCTGTTGCTCTTCAGAGGGGACGCCGTCCCTGCAGCCGGGGCTAGTGCAGCAGGAGCGGGTATTAGTGTCTCCGTAGCCGCACGCAGGGCCCGGCCGGGTGCCCTCGAGCTGGTCCTCCTGGGTGAGGTTGTTGGGCAACGGCTGTACCCACTGGGGGATTCTCTTATTGCCTGTACGGTTCTGGTCCCCCGACCCCAGATTTGAGGTTTGGCTGTCAGGAGATGTCTTACACACCTCTGGCGACAGGAGGCTCACTTCCTCTCCACGTCCATGCTCATACTGTTTCCTAAGCCCTTTCCCTGGCCTCTCAGGTCCCAGCCCCTCCCACACCAAAACTGGCACCAAGACCTGAGCTGCTGGGCCCCTAGGAATCTTGGCAAGCCTTGGGGGGGGGGGTCCTGGCTCTTTCTCTCTGCTGTTTGAGGATGCTGGTGGGGTCTCTGCAGGGTCTTGGGGGACTTGGAGTGCTGTAGATGGTCTGAGCTGGTCCTCAGGGAGGGACAGGAGCTGCCCCTCTGCTGACTGTGCCCCCACCGCCTGCCTGGGGTCTCTGCCAACCCACCCCAGTTGCTTCCACCTCTCCTGTCAGAGGTTCAGCGTTAGGACTAGAGGGCCCATGGTGGGTCACGGTTGTCTGGCCCCACGTGGCTGCATGGAGTCGGCCCCGGCCAGTCACGCCCGGGGCAGGGTAGGCTCACCTGTGCCCAGCAGCTCTGCCCCCAAGCTCTGACCACCCCTCACCCCATCCCACCCCCGCGTCTGCTCTCTTGCAGCCGTGCTGGGGGAGGGGAGCGTGAGCTGCTGGTGCACAGCCCGCCCCAAGCCCTCATCAGTGCAGGGGTGGAGGTGCGACAGACATTGATAATGAGATTTTTGGCTCCTCGGCTCTCTGGGAGCAGACGCCCCGCAGGCTCCTTTCCCTGCCCGGGGAGGGGGCGGGCAGGCTCACGGTGCCGGATGGGGACCACCGGGCAGCCCGCCTGCTCCCAGCTCTGGGGGTCTGGCTGCGCGGGCGCTGCCCAGACTTGCTTCCTGGCCGCACGTCTGGGCCTTGGCACCCCGCCCCGCGTGGCCCCCGCCATGCTGGCCGGCTGGTAACTGATAGATAATTCGTATTTTTCTCAAGTACAATTCCAAATTGACTGTTGCCTTCACTCCTCTCCTCGCTCGGGAAAAACACCCTCTCCGGTCCTCATGGGGACCACAGCTGTTAATGGGGTCTTTGGCCTCTGCCTGGCCAAGGCCCCCGGCGAGTGCCCCCGGCCCCAGGTGGTCCCTCTGCGACCAGATCTCACACGTGTGCTCCCTGAGCCCCGAGGCGAGCCCTCCGCTCGTAGGCCAGCGTGCTCACACGAAGCTCGCACACGAGGCGCCTTGCACAACTGGGAAGCCATGCACACGCTCCATGCACACGTGAGACTACACCCATGCACACAGACACGTGTGCCCAGGTGCCGGCCCCTTCTGGTCGCCACCCAGGGCTCGACAAAGGCCTCTTCCCCCACAGGAGGCCAGGACGGCCGGGTGGCGCATTGCAGAGCACGGGAAGGGTGTGTGTTCAGCCTCCGAGGTTCTAAACCAGGCAAGGTTCAGGCCTCGGATCTGCTACAGGGCTGTAGCCTGACGGGTCCCTGTAGACAAGCGCGCTGGCTCCTGGGACGGCTGCGGACAGGGCCTCGTGCCTAGGAAGCACCCACACATGGCCGCTCTGGGGTTGTTCTGTCTGGGGCTTGTCCTGTGTCAGGAGCTTTGTGGGGAGACACATGCTAGATGGTCAGGGCTGTGCTCGGGGGCTGGTCCCCCTGGGCAATGATGCTCTTTGGCCCTGTGGGCAGTAAAGACCCCAGCCAGGGATGGCAGTGTTCGTGCCTTTGTCCCTGTCTCCAAACCCAGCACACTCCAGCCTGGCCTCTGGGCCCTGACGGCCACTCCTGTCCCGGGGCCCCCCAGGGGCTGGCAATGACACGGACAGCTGGTCCCAGGAGTCCTGAGGAGCAGCCCGATGATGGGGCATCTGGATGCTAGCCAGCTTGCTCTGCTCCATCTCCTCTGACTCCCAGGTTGGGCCTTGCCAGGGAAGGGGACTGCCCTCGCGTTTTGGGAGGTGTGGGAGGGGACTCCGAGGTCAGCCAAGAGGCTTGTATGGCTGGAGCCCTGGTCCAGCCGGGCAGTGTGAGGCAGGCCAGTGAGGGTGGACCAGGGTGGGAGGAGGGCTCAGTGAGTCCCTGGGGGGGCTCCACGTGCCCCCCCCCCCCGTGAGTGGCCTCCAGCTGTCGCACACATGACCGTGGGTGAACGCCAGCCCATCCGTCCCAGGGGTGAGCCAGTGCACACAGGGTGAACACCACCCTCCTGGCGGGGAAGGGTCCCAGGGAAAGCAGGCAGCGGGGAGGCTCAAAGGCTCTCCCCAGGGTTCTTGGCAGAGTGTGGCTGAGTCAACACTAATGGATTCAGGAGAAAACTTTCCAGCCCCTCAGAGGTTTGCAAGCAGGAAAATAATAGCGGAGGTGTCCCAACACGATCACGGTATCAATTGCGTTATCCTTAAAGTTTATGGAATGCATAAGTGGAATTAATACCTTTTACTGGCACCAGAAGCAATTACACGAATTTAAGGCCAGGCAAGGGCTCTGTCTGTCGTGGAGACGGCTGAGGAGAGAGCAGGGGAGACTGCACGGATTGCACTGTGGGCGGGTCCCGGGGCAGACCTGTGTCCTGCAGGCTGGCCGCGGTTCCTGGCCTGAGCCGGGCATCACCTCTTCTCTCTCCATCTGTGTAGCTGGAGCCCCAGGGCCCGGAGATCACAGAGCTTGGCCTTGGAGGCCCCAGTGGGGCCGGGAAGCCCTGAGTCCCAGGGGCTGAGGGGTGCGCCCAGGACAGCCTGTATCCCTCCCCACCTGGGCTCCTGTAGGAGCCTCGAGGGAGAGCCCCCTGGGGGGGTAGGTGTCCATGTGTTCTGATACAATCAATGTTTTATGAAGAATTCTATTTTCTGGGACTGGTTCCCAAAATGGATATAGCTCCGTAGATTTTAGAATGTCCATCTGACAGTGCTGACTGTGACGGGGGCTGGCCACCCCCCTACCCCCACCCCGGTGTGCAGGAGAGGCCCAGCCTCCCGGCAGTCATGGTAGGGACACCGAGGCCCAGGAAAGGCAGGAGGAGAGGGGGTCCCGAGCTCTGGCTTTCATCAAGCAGCCTGGGGGGAGCATCTGTGCGCCCCTGTGAGTGTAGGGGCGCTCTGAGTGAGCAGTCTTCTAGCTCTGAGGACGTCCCGGGACCCCATTGAGCTGCCGGGGAGACAGGCTGACCCTCAGAGGCCCAGAGCATCCATCTGAGCCCCAGGAGCCTGGGGTTCCTGCTTGCCCATGAGTGAGTGACAGCTGCCACCCCCCAGGGAGGGTCCGGCGCCCGTCCTCCCTGCCTGCTGTGGGTTGACAAATGACCATTCTCCAAGAAGCTGCCTTATGGGACACTCCTGGCTGACCAGCAGAGGAAGGAATGGTGTGCATGCAGGAGAGGCTGGGGCCGCCACCAGTCCCCACCCCTCCCTGTGCATCTCCCAGCCGGGCTCCCCAACCCCTGGGGTCAGTAGCCTCTCTGGAGGAGGAAAGCTTCTTCTGGGC